TATAATAATAACTACTATTATCATCATCATAGCTAAATGTGAATGTGTTTTGGGTTTGCCGGACTCATAACAAAAGAATTTAAGAAAGGAAGGGAAGGGGAGAGGGAGATAGAAACAACAGTGATGAGAGAGAATCATTGATTGGCTGCCTCCTGCATGCCCCTACTGGGGATTAAGCCTGCAACCTGGGCATGTGCCCTTGACGGCAATCAAACCTGGGACCCTTCAGCCCACAGGCCAACACTTTATCCACTGAGCCAAACAGGCTAGGGCAAGGTCATTTTTTACTAAGTTATTTAACAAACATTCACCGAGGTCCACTCTGTGCCCGGCCCTATGAAAGGCAATGGGCACACTGTGCTAACCCAGATAACCCTGGGCCTTGGCCTCGAATTCTGAGGGGGAGAAAGGGAGAGACAAACATTAAATAAAACATTGCACAAAGAGATGTATGTTATAATACATATTGCATAAACACAGGGGGTTCTGCCTTACATGGGCATCTATAAGGGTTTCTAAAGAGATGGCATTAGATCTGGATGTGGCTACATGAGATTAGAGGGAAGGACATTGCAGAGCGGGGGGTGCATGTGCAATGGCCCTGAGGCAGCACAGAGCCTGTCCTGCTTGAGGATCAAAGGAAGGCAGGTTTGGTGTGGAAGAGTGAGTGAAAGTAAGGACATGTGAAGTCAAAGGTGCAGGAGTCTCATTGCATAGGACACTGAGAGCAACTGAGCAGAAGGATTTCACCCTGAGGCTGTGGGAAGCATGCTGGGTCTTGAGCAGAGAGTGATAATTTGATGGACATTTTAAAAGATCCCTCTTTGGGTTGGCATCCTTGTTAGTTTTGGTCATTGCTGCAAGCCTAGCACTTAGAAACAGGCCTGGCATATCGAGTGAAGTATTATAACCCAGAGTCAACTGCTCAGCTCCACCACCACTCTGTGGGGCAACCTGGGTGCACTGTGACCATAAAAGCTAAGTAGTAGCAGAGGTTCAAAACGCCCTGAGTTTAAGAAGACAGAGGGCCTGCAGTGTGCACTCCAAGCACATCTGGCTGGTCTTGGTTTTCATGGTTGGCACTGACTTGTAGCAGGTCCATCTGCCAGTTCCTGGGAGTAAGGAAAGAAGACTGGGTCCGGGTGAGCCACCTTCATACACTTAAGACAAGCATTGAGGCCACCACTCTGCTCTCGTTCCATGGAAACGTGGTTTGGACATGGTCACACCTACTTCAGGAGGGGTCCTGAGGGAGCACTGGGTGCTGTGTCCTCGAGCTGGGCAGACTGTGCCCACCTCCAATCCTATTTCATGGAAAATGGGAAGATGGATTTTGCTGGACAACTGGCTGCCTATGTCTCTTAGTTTCCACATCCCATCTGTAAGGTGGATATACCAATGGAATGTACCTTATGGGGATTTTGTGAAGTTAAATGAATTAATAAACATGCTGTTTCTAAGAAGTTGTTTGATGATGCTATGAAGCTTAGAAAGCATTCCCATGTTGTTTTGAATTAGTACGCTATAGATTAAAAAGATCCCACTCTATGTCCCTATGAGATGGAGATCATATTTGCACATTTAGATTTAATTAGAGATTAAAAAGATCCCACTCTATGTCCCTATGAGATGGAGATCATATTTGCACATTTCAGAAATGTGCAAACCGAGGCTCAGCTATGAAGACTTTTGGGGTCTCCCGAGCCTGCCTGACTTTCTCCTTCCATCCCCAGAGCTGTCCCGGTTCCAGACGGTTGGGGAGTCGGCGCTGGGCGTGGAAACTTTCTCCTACCAGGGGGAACCCCACATGGTCCTGGCACAGCCCTTTGCTGGTCGCTGCCTGATTCTTTCCTGGGACTATAGCCTGCAGCGCTTCCGGCTTGAGGAAGAGCTATCTGGTGAGCGCCCCCATCCCATCTTCCTGCCTGTGGGGGTGGGTGGTGGAGAGTGGGGATGCCCTGCCCACCTGGCCTGATCTGCCTCTTGCTCCCTGGCTCCCCCACAGCTCCCTCGGTGGTGTCCTGCAAGCCCCTGGTGCTGGGCCTGCGCCTCTTCATGCTGGCGGCCCGCCTGTGGGGAGGCTCACAGCTGTGGGTGCGGCCCGGGCCTGGCCTGCGCCTGGCCCCGACTCAGGCCCTGGCCCCAAAGCGTCTGCTGAGGCCTAATGACGCTGAGCTCCTGTGGCTAGATGGGCAGCCCTGCTTCGTGGTGGCCGATGCCTCCAAGGCTGGCAGCACCACCCTGCTGTGCCGCGACGGGCCTGGCTTTTACCCACGCCAGAGCCTCCACGCCTGGCACCGGGACACGGATGCGGAGGCCTTTGAGCTGGACGGCCGGCCTCACCTGCTGCTGGCATCAGCCTCACAGCGGCCCGTGCTCTTCCACTGGTCTGGGGGCCGCTTTGAGAGGCGCACGGACATCCCCGAGGCTGAGGACGTCTATGCCACACGCCACTTCCGGGCCAGTGGGGATGTGTTCCTGTGCCTGACTCGCTACATCGGGGACTCCCTGGTAAGCCTTGGCCCAACCAGGTGGAGGTGGCAGCAAAGGCCACAAGCCACCTCTGACCTGCAGTTGACTCCTACTCAGGGCTGTCTTTGCCATGGGTACCACCCAACATGGGCTGGCCTTTCAGCATTGACCCCACTTTGCACACTGGCCTCTAACTCTGCCCCAAGCTCACAGGCTAATCTTCAAACTCCAACCCCATCTAATGTGTTGATCCTTGAATTCTGACCCCACCCCAACAATGACTTCAAGCCTGTGACACCTCAAGGCATTGCTAACCCTGAACTACTGCCATTTCACAACATAGACACTGGCCCCAAGATTCTGATTCTAACCCCACACTCTGGCTCTGTAGCTCTGACTCCCTCCAGGACTTACATTTAACCACAGCAGCACACTCTGAATCCCCGAGGCTGATGCCCACACCCTCCAGCACTCTCTTTTAGAGAAAGGTGGACTCGGGGAGAGTCTGAGCTTATAAGTCACTGCTCTGACTCAGTTCAGAGTGCCTCTGTGGGGAGCAAACTGAGGGCACAAGGATGGGAGTAGGTGACCCGGGAAAAGGTGATCTTGGCTGGGTGGAGTGCAGCCAGAGGAGATTGGGGCAATATATAGCATAGTAGTAAAGCTGACAGACTCCACTACTGATGGGTTCTATGTTGGGGAGGTGGGGGGAGGAGAAAGAAGGGCCAAGAATGTGGCCTGAGCAGCTGGGTGATGACATTTATAAAGAAAGTTATGAGAGTTTAGGGACCTGCAGGCATCTACTTATAAGCCATTTCACGTCCTCTGAAGCCCAGAGGACTACCAACAGGCCGGGCCCTCTTGGATCCCAGTCCTAACCAGCCGCCACACTCCACAGGTCATGCGCTGGGATGGTTCCATGTTCCGCCTGCTGCAGCAGCTTCCTTCACGTGGTGCCCACGTCTTCCAGCCACTGCTCATAGGCAGGGACCAGCTGGCTATCCTGGGCAGTGACTTCGCCTTCAGCCAGGTCTTCCGCCTGGTGCCTGACAAGGGGCTCCTGGAACCATTGCAGGAGCTGGGGCCCCCAGCCTTGGTGGCCCCCCGGGCCTTTGCTCATATCGCCATGGCTGGCAGACGCTTCCTCTTCGCTGCTTGCTTCAAGGGCCCCACACAGATCTACCAGCTTCACGAGTTAGACCTCAGTGCCTGACACTGGACGGGATCCTGAACATGGTTGGTGAGGGGGCTGGCATGGGGAGTCTTAGGCTTCTGGACACCTTCTTGGCCCCACTTGGGGTTTTATGACTGGTCCTGTGAGATACTAGCCACAGGCCAAGTTCAAGGCAAGAACTGCCCTCCAATCTTGGCTGGGGCAAATGCTGGGCGCTCAGACTGGGACACAAAACCGGATTCCAGAAGTCGTGGTGGAGTAATGTGCAGAGCTCCATGAGGTCTGGGAGCACCCCCCTCCCCTCCACCCACCCCTCCTACTCCAGCTTCCTGTGAAAGTACCCAGGAGGAGATGGCTTTCCTCTCCCACTAAACTCAATCTGGCCAATCGCTTTTAGTGCTTGCCTCCATGACGTTATCAGTTGCTGGGCAGGTTTTCTTGCCAGGCTTGCTAACTTCCTCTGTTGCTTGTGCGCATGCCTGCCGCCGAGGCGGAAGCCCAACACAGTCCCTGCTGGTGCGAGTGAAATGGGAGGAAAAGCGAGAGTTTTTTCAGGGGCCCAGGGTACTCCTTTCCAGTGAGTGACAGAGGTGAAGGCGAAGGTGTGTGAGCTCAATAAATGTGGTGCACCCGCCCCAGCTGTTGTTGTGGGATCAGGGGAGAGGGTGTACACTGACTGACATGGGGGAAGGGCCCAGGGGCCCAGGCGCAGTGCTACAGAGGGGGAGGTCCCAGGGGAGCATGTTGGCGTACTCTGGTAAGCTTCTGGAGTTGTCTAAGGAGTGTGGGTTCATGATTATGGGGGATGTTCAAGGGATATAAGGGCATTATTAGGCACAAGTTTATTATGGGTCTCTTTCTGGGGGGTCTCTTTTTGGGCATTTTGAAGGTTTTTATGCACCTTAGGGGTGCCTCTTGATAGCATTTTGAGGTCTTATTGGGTTCTGGGGAGCCTCAAGGGAGTTTGAGGCTCATTGGAGGCTCTCATACCAGATGGCCATCATATATTATTAGGGTTATCATGGCCAATTACTTAAAAGTCTCACGGAGACATCCAGGTATTAGGAATTAGAGTCACAGCAGTGAGTGAGCCGTAAGGGGTCTTACTATCTGGGCACTCACATTCTGGTAGGGTAATCCCAGTGTCCAGCTGAGTGTCCCAGCATTTCCTCTGGTGTTAAATTGCAGATGCGGCCACTTTGGCCATGGCAATAGAGGACAAACCCCATGCCACTCGCCGGAGGGATTAGGCCTTTGGACTTTTCCCAACAAAGAGATTCCGCCGCCAGCTCCTGTGGCAGCTTCCCGAGCGTGCCCGCCACAAATCCTACCCCAGGACACACAGAGTCTCGGCTGCTTGGGCTGGAGGCAAGACCACTTTAGATCAAACTGTGAACAAAAGGACCTTACAGTGACAGTGAGGTGGGGTCTGGAAAGGCAGTCTTGAGGACAGGAGGGGAATTCCATCCTGGAGTTAGGTTCCTATGCAGACCAGGACGTGGAGACAGAGAGAGGCCCTCTGTGTTCTTTCGTGGATCCATCCTCAACAGTTATGGGCAGAGCCTGGGAGAGGTGATAAGGTCAGCTTGTGAGATCAGGCCAGATGCAGTTTTTCTCCCCAGAGTGTGCGCGCGCACTCTCTCTCACACACACACACACACACACACACACACACACACACACACGCTTCTCACATTCTGTGTACCCCTTAGCCCCATCTGTTCCTGTCTTACCTGGAGTGACTAGTGGTGGGGCGTCCCCCGGTCGGTGGCTAAGAAAAGAAAAGTGGTGAGATCTGTATTTGCCTTCTGTCCTCCCCCTCAAGACTAGAAGACTCTCAGCTTTCCTTAACCTAGCTTCCTGGCTACTTTTCCGTCATAGAGTTGTACCACCCCAGGGTCCCAAGCATTTCAAGATTTGGGGCCCTTTGGGGATTTTCAGCTCCGAAGAATAAGCCTGGGAAGTCTTAGTGGCAGGAAACCACCAGGGCCAAGCCTGGCGGCCGGGCCTTTCTGCAAGGCTTAACTCTTTCACCCTGGAAGATGTCTAAGAGAGGTGCACCCTGGGAATCCACTCACCTGGGCTTCTGGCCAAACTTGCATTTGCATTTCCCACCTGTTGGGGAGAGGGGCATGGTCAGGAGAGGGGACCTTGCCCTTCCCCACTCCTCCAGCGGCTCCTCACTTACTCAGAACGACGATGATGCCCATGGCGCACAGGACCCCTGCACAGATGAGCCCTCCGACTCGGAGGCTGTGCCAGTCTAGGAGAAACCCAGAGGGAGCCTCGGTGTCAGCCAGCGTCCTCCTCATCCTAGTCCCCGTCCACGTAACAAAGTCGCCTGGGCACCGATGCCGCTCTGGCGCTGGGTACAGTTGTGCGGCAAACATGCCCAGCCTCCCCTGCTCATATCTATTAGCACGCAGGCAAGCGACACAAGACTTAACGGAGAGCTGGATGGACAGACGTGGTCTGAAGACAAGTGAGCAGAGCCAGGGAGCAGGAAGCCAGAGAGCAGCTCTTCAGGGACCGTGTCAGGGAAGGCCTCTGGGGGCCCCTGGAGCGGAGATGTGGGGGGATGTGGGCGGGAGCATGTGGCGTGTGGGAGGAAGTATTCCAGGCAGAGGGATTAGAAGGGACAAAGATCTGCAGGTAGGGAGTGCACCTGCTGAGTCTGAGCCCCAGCAGAGGCCACTGTGGCCTGAGCGGAAGCAGTGACAGGGAGGGAGGACAGAGGGGGGACTCGGAGCAGATCATGTGGAATCTGGAGGCCACGGAGGATTTGGATCAAATGGCACAGCTCCTCTAGGAAGCTTTCTCAAGTCAAACCCACCCAGACTTGATTTGAACATAACAATGGTGTCCAGTGAACTGTCCCTGCTTCTCGTAACTGTCCTTGCTGGACAGCCACGCATCTTCCCGAGGACCACGCTGGCCTGTCTTGTTCCCCGAATCCACTGTGGCTACTGGCCAATGTCCCAGTCCAACCCTATCCTTGCCCCCTTTCCACCCACATCAGACCCTCACCCAGCACTGTGTGGGAGTCACGGCACAAAACAGTCTGAGGGGTGGGGTAGGAGGAGCGAAGGGAGGGGCACCAGCTCTTACCGTAGTAAAAAGGACTGTCTTTATCTGAAAGGAAAGAAAGAGAACATAAATCCAGGAGCAGAGCTGGGGTACAGGGCTCCCGGGGGAATTGGGGCGGCGGTGGAGGGCTGATAGAAGAGCACAGCCTGACTTACCTTCCGGGTCGTTGGCATCCAGGGCAGGCAGGCCTGGTGGGAGAAGCAGGAAGGAGAGGACATGGGTGCTGGTCTCAGGAAGTTGGCAGGGCCAAGGGCTTGGAGAAAGGCCCCCTGATGGACAGTCCCTGCCTCCCGAGGGTGCAGGGGTCCAGCCCCAAACTGGCACGTCCCATCTCGGAGGTGTGGACCCTCACTCAGCCCCTCACCTGTGAGCCAGGCCAGCATTTTGCCTCCTGTAATAGGTTTTAATCTGAGTAGCTCTCGGCCACCCTTTGGCCTGATGTTTCCGGCCCCTAGCTACTCCACGCCTCCTCCAGAAACGAAGCGATGTTCTTGTCCACAGGACAGATGGCATCCTCAGAGCCCATCTCCCTATTCTGCCACATCCCACCCACCTCTTCTGATGTTTGCTCACCACTCCTCTTTAAGGCAACTTGCTAATTATAAACGTCATACACTTTATTTAAAAATCATCTTTCCATCACCATCCTAAATGGAATACAGTCTTGCCAGAAAAACAAACACAATGAAAGCAAAGGACGAGGATTAAATTCTGGCTAGAAGCAGCGGCTGCCTGAGCTCAGCGCCTAAGCTCTATTCTTCCTTTGTTAAAGGGAGATAAATAATTTTAAATTATATTTCAAGTACAAATACCTCATGCTTACTCTGTGCAAGCACTGTTTTAAGTGCTTTCCAAATGCCAACTCTTTTCATCCTCACACTGACTCTGTACAAAGCGCTATTGTTGTCCTCATTTTACAGATAGGGAAACTGAGGCACTGTTGGTAACTTGCTCCATTACCTCTCAGCTCCTAGTTACCCCGCATAGTGAAGTGTCGGGGAGGCATAAAGACACAGCCCGAGGCTGAGCATTCCTTGAAGTCATCCATGAGACACTTCCTAGCTGGTTGAGCTGCTGCTACAAGAGGTCCTGTTTTGTGTTCTCTTAAAATCACAGTACAGCACTTCTTCCCTCAAGGAGATGCTGTCCTGACAGTCCCACCCCACAGGGGGGTCTGTGAGGCTTGCCTGCTGCTCAGCAGAGGGGCTCGGGGGAAGACCTGTCCAGGAGCAGCACTCACCTGCGAGGAGGAGGAGCAGGCTCAGGGCCACTTGCTGCATGATGGAGCTGGCCTGGAAGGGGAAGGGGCAGCCCAGCATTAGCAGGGCTGCAGGGCTGCGGGGATGCCACCAGGGCCTCTGGTTCCCAATCCCCTCCTACTCCCCACTCCGCCCAGGGCACACACCTCACCCCAGGGTGGGAAGGCTGGCATTGAAGGCTGAGAGACAAGAGCTGGGGAGTGAAGTGGGGGCTAGGTGAGATCTCAGACCTGATGGGCAGCAGCAATAATCACTCACTGGACACAGACTTGAGGCTTGAAGTGAATCACCCTGGCAACCAAATAAGAGAGAAACTGCCTGTGGTTAACCCCATTTTATAGATTGGGAAACCGAGGCTCTGATAGGTGCCTTGTCAGAAGTGGGATTTAAACCAGGGTTGGCTTTGCAGCAGCTGTCCCTAACTCAGGATTCTCAGGGCCTCAGGGTGTTTTGGGAAATGGGGTGTTAGAAGCCAAGTGGCCAGAGGCCAGTTCCTAGGAGTGTCTCCCATAGACAGCTTGGAACCTGCCCGGCTTGCCCGGACTTTATAGACTCAAGCTGCTCAGGGCTGGGTGTGGTGGGGAGAGCGCAAAACTGGCTGGCTGCAGCCCCAGCTCCATCTCTTGTGCCATCCTGACCATTGACCCCCATTTGTGCCCCACCCCTGCCCATCCCACCCCCGTCCCTGGTTCTGCCTCTACCCCAGTCCCAGCCCCTGCTCCTACTCCACCCTGCCAAGCTCCTCCTGGCAGCAAAATCTCCCTCCACAGGGAGACCTGCTCAGCACGAAGAGGCTGCCTCTGTCCCCTCTGGGTCTAGGGTTAGTCCACCCTCCCTCCTCCTCTGTGCCTGCGGTAAGCACCCGATCTCTGTGCATCCCCTGCCCTGCCCCTGCCCCTGCCCCACAGCGAAAGCATCTGTTGCCATAACTCTGACAGCAAGAGCTTACACTTCCTCTGACCCACCTGCGCCCAGCCCTGCCAACAGCCCTGCTGGGTTTTCACTCGCATAATCCTGACCACCGCGGGGGCCATCTGTCACCTTCCGCATGTCATGGTGGGAACACATATGTCCTCCCACCCTGGTGAAAGCCCATATGACCGGAGAGAGCACCCCGTCTCGCTCCTTCTCGGTCCCTCCATGGCAGCCCCACCTGAGCTGCTTTCTATTTCAGGAGGAGGGCCTGTAGTTTAGGGAGCATTACTAATGCATCTAGGAACCCAAAACGTTTTGGGGGGATGTGGAGAGCGTGTGTGGGCAGCACAGGCCTGTGGAAAGTCTGCTGCTGTTGGAAGCGACCTGGGAGGCTTTGCTGCCTCCGGACTAACGAGCACTGGTAAGAGCCCGGCTCACGGCGGGCAGTGGGCACGCTGTTCTCTCTGCATGTCACCTTCGCAGCTTGACGAAACGGCACTGGGATTAGCCCGCTTTGCTGTTGCAGCCCTGTAACCTGTGTGAACTACGCCGTCAGCGGCAATGCTGAGGCTCAGCTCTTTAGCCTTTTCCATGGGATCCTCCGCCTCCGCCCTCTGCGAAGTCTCCATTACTCTCCCTCCAGCATCTCTGGCGCCTCAGCTCAGGGAGCCGGGCGTGGTCTCCGCTGTGCTTGGCGCTCCCATGGTGCCTGGGGGTCTGCCCCCCTTTCCTCGGGCGTCCTTGGAGGAGGCCTGAGCTGCTCCTGAACTGCCTGTTACTGGTGTGAGGCTTGGACAGGAAGCGGCTTTGCCCATGGAGGCCCTGCTCACCCCTTCCCGCTCCTCCCGGCACAGAGCTCCTGTCTCCGCCATCTGCCCTCGCTCTCCTCTGCTCCTCTAAGGGGGAGGCCAGGCCTCCCGGCATGAGGAATGACTCTGGGGCCCTGAAATGTCCTGCCCAACCCCCCATCTTACATCTCCTCGGGAGCCTCCAGCTCCTTTGTCTCCATCCACAGGACCCCACTCCCTAGACGTTCGGGTTTAGCCAGTTACCCTCTCTGCTCTGATGCCACCAACCACCCATGACCACTTAGATCCCTCCATTTGCTCAGGTACCCCCGCCCCCTGTTCGCCCAGATGCCCCCAATCCTGTGCTGGTCCACCCAGGTGCCCCTGATCTACCTAGACACCCACCACACCTGCAGGCCTTATCTCCTTATCTCCTCACCGCCCCAGGGGAGAATCGGAGGATCGCTCTAGGCCAGTCGTCAGCAAACTCATTAGTCAACAGAGCCAAATAGCAACAGTACAACGGCTGAAATTTCTTTGGAGAGCCAAATTTTTTAAACTTAAACTTCTTCTAACGGCACTTCTTCAAAATAGACTCGCCCAGGCCATGGTATTTTGTGGAAGAGCCACACTCAAGGGGCCAAAGAGCTGCATGTGGCTCGTGAGCCCCAGTTTGCTGACCACGGCTCTAGGGCTTTCTCTAATCTCCTGCTCCTGCCCCAGAAAAGGACCGGGAAGGGGGTAGGTTCTAGGGTCTGTAATAGAGAGCAGTGGAGGGAGGGGGCCCCATCTCTCACCAGCGTGGCTCCCCAGGCAGTGTGGACGGTCACTTCCGCCTGAGTCCTGCCTTTATCTGCAGCTGCCACGCCCTAGGCAAACCTGGGCAAGGCTGGGCAGGTAGGGAACAAGTCAGACTGCCTTAAGCACTGGGACTCTCATCCCATTCCTGCTCTTAAAGAGACAGCTCCAGCCACCACCCCACCACTGGCAGGAGCTCCCTGGGCTGGAACTCGTCCCGAGCCCTGACGTTAGAGGAGGGGGCTTTCTCCCATCTCCTGCCCCTCAGAAAGGGACCTGGAAGGGAGAGCAGCAGGGTCTTCAACAGCAGAGCGCTGGCCTGGGGTCGGGGAGGGCTGGGGGAGGGCTCTGCAGAGGTAATAGCCCAGTTGTTTTTGCTGAGATTGTGTGCTGTGCTTGGAGGAGGCATTGGCCGCAGTCATGGGAGAGCTGATGTCCTCTTCCAGGCCACTTGCTGCTGTTGACTTAGTTTGAGGGTCAACAGAAGATGCTGGTAGGGCCAAGGAGTGGTGGGGCTGCTTGGCCCTAAACCATGACCCCTCCTCTGTGTGTCCATTGTGCCCCAGGGAGACTGGGAACTGGCTCCTGAGCCCCACCAGGTCCAAACCTCCGAAGCCCAGGCTCTTCCTAAGGGCACCGAGAGCCTGGGCTACACAGCGGCCTCGGAGTGGGGGGCTGCCTGCCATTCCGGATAAGGCCCAACTGCACCGTGCTCGGCTCCTTTACCCTCCCCCTCTCCCGCCCCTCCTCATGGCATTCCTTCCGGCTGGGGTCTGTGCATGCCCCCACTTGGTCCCCGTTGGGGGGTCCCCTCCCCCCAATTCCGCCTTTTTAGACAGAGAGACTTTTGTCTGGGGGCTGGATAGAGAACAAGGCTCCTTTGAGTGGCTGGTAGAGGATTGGGGTCATGGGGAGGGGCAGGGCCAGAAAAGGGGTGGCTCTGTGCTGGCCACCAGCTGGACTCCAGGCGACCCCCAATACCAGCACAGGGGTGGGGCGGAGGGGCGCAGGAGCCAGGCCAGGGAGAGGGTGGAGAGCAGGCCAGGGAAAAGGGGTTTGGAGGTCAAGGCTCTGCTGGGGACAGGGAGAACAGACCCCCCACTTCTCAGCAGGGAGGGACAGGGAGGCAGCAATGTTCACCCAGCTATATGGTCTCTTTATGTGGTTCCCTCAGGCCATTTCTCAGTCCCAGGCCCTAGACTAGGACAGGTCCTCTTCCCACTCCCATTCAGGGGGGGCCAGTGCCTGCAAGAAGTGGAGGGGACACTCAGGAAGGGCGGGGCTCAGCCACAGTGGGAAATCGGGGTGGGTGGAGACAGAAACGGAGGAAGGGGAGGCCTGAGGGGGATTCCAGTCCAGCTAAGGGGTCTTTGTGTCTGGGCAGACAGCATCTCCTGCATAGACAGTTGAAGATGGTAACATCCCTGGGAAGACCCCTTTGGTGGTCTTGGGAGTGGAGTGGTGTTCCCCCTGCTGGGAAATCTGGAAACTACAGGCATGTGAGAGTGAGAAGGCCTGAGTGCACTGTGGTGGAGGATGTATGCTCTGTCCTTCATCTATGCCACCATCTGCAAACTCAGATGCCAAAGGGGCCAGGCAAGAATCGTGAATGAGTACAGGAGGACAGGCATGAGATTATAAAGTATGGGGACAATTCAGCAAACAGGAGAACTATTGTTCTGTCTAACAGGCAGCTGCCAAAAAGACTGGAGCAAGCCCACATGGACAGATAGAGAAATACTTCCCAGATACCTTGGGGAAAAAGCAAGATGTATCGAAGTATGCTGCCATTTGTGAGGGGAAAATCATTTATATGTAAACTAGAGGCCCAGCGCATAAAAATCATGCACTGGAGGGGGAGGGGAGTTCCTCGGCCTGGCCTGCCCCCTCTCACAGTTCGGGAGCCCTCTGGGGCAGAAGGCGACTGGTGATTAGGGGAAGGGCTGCTGCTGCCACTGCCAGCAGTGCAAGCCTCAGCCAGCCCTGGTTACCTGAGCCTCGGGCAGCCCTGGTGGCTGGGCAGCATCATCCGAGGCTTGCCTGCACCTCGGGCTGGCCCTGGGCAGCTGGGAGTCTGAGGGAACTGGGGGACTCTCTGGAGGCAGCCACGTGCCTGCCACTCCTGCGGGGCTGAGGAGACTGGACACTACAATCTTGTGGCTGTGGGTGCTGCCATCTTTGAGGGAGGGGGAGTCAATTAGCATATTCCTCTTTATTAGATAGAATACTTGTATATTAATAAAATATTGTTGCTTCTGGGGAAGGGGATTAGGAGGCTGCAGGATAGGGTGGGAGGAGACACTCACTTATATATCCTAAAAATGTGCTACCTTGAAAAAAAGTTTAATTAAAAATAAAGTAAGGGATATGCTGTACCTGGTTCTAGCCAATTGCTATTATTTTTAATAGGTATCAGAAATCTGAATTTTTATGTGGAAGTTCTAATATTAAAAGTTGGGTCACATATATATATTTTTTTAATTATTCAGGTTAAACAGAACACATTTGAGGGCTGGTTTTAGCCTGGGAAGACCACCATTTAGAGATTTCTGCCAACTTCATTTCAAGAATCTTTAGTCACTGTGATTTTGCATTTGGATACCCAAATGTTTATGAAGCTTGTACCCAACTCAGGCCAACCATAGCTTCCTCCCAAGGCTGGACTGGAACATGCCATACCCAAGAGTGAGCTGGACTGGGGCTGGGGCTTTTGGCTGGGAGGGTAGGACTAGAGACCCCCTGTGGACGGGTGAAAGTGTGCACACTAGGACCCTGGGGAGAGTTTGCAAGGAGTGAGGTAGTGCAGTCTCTTGCATCCTCTTGGTGAGTCTTCCAGACCAATTTGACTTTAGTCACTTTGAGGCAGGATCCTAAGAAGGGAGGGAATTTCTTTGACAAGTAGAATAAAGGAAACAAAGTAACTAAACAAGGCCAAACAATTTGAGCAATTGACAGCCAGCTAATGAATCACAAGATTTTATCTTCCTTACCCTAGGACACTAGGGAGCAAATGGTTTCCATATTCTAGACTAGGGGTGTCGAACTCAATCAGAGAAGGGGCCAAAATCTAAAATCCAGCCTAAATCGTGGGCCAAATGGTTTACTGAACAGTCATAAACTGTCATTGTGATGGAAACGCAGCGGAGTGCAGTGATGACAGTGCGGTGCGGGCCACATTGCAAGGCCTGGCGGGACGGATTTGGCCCGCGGGCCTTGTGTTTGACACATGTGCTCTAAGGGTTTCACAAGACTTGCAACCAGGGGAGCAATGAGCAATGGCAGCTTGTCCCAGGCTACCCCCCAACCATCTTATCTCCAAGGCCCCCTTTTTCTCTGACGTTCCAGTGAGACAAAGCCACCCCATATAGGCTCTGTCTCCTATTGCTTCTTCTACTTTAAGCCCTTCCTTTGTTTCACTGTCCCCAAAATACCCTCAAAATAAACATACCCTCAAAATCACTTGGACTCATATGAAATCAAGAACCCACACCCTCCAGGCTGGGCGGAGGTACATCTGGTAACAGTATTAAAGTGTGTCCATTTATGCATGAAATTCATGCATGGGGGGTTGTCCCTCAGCTGGGCCTGAACCTTTCCAATCTAGGACCCCTCAGGGGATGTCCGACTGGGATCGGGCCTAAACCAGCAGTCAAGCATCCCTCTTATAATCTGAAACCCCTGGCTCCTAACCGCTCCTGACTGTCCCTACCCACTTCTTTCTGCCAGCCTGATCACCCCCAACTGCCCTCCCCTGTTGGTCCGATTGCTTCCAGCTGCCCTCTCCTGCCAACCTGATCGCCCACAACTACCCTCCCCTGCCGTGACCCACCTCCTCCACTGAGACCTGCCTCCTCCATGTGAGGCAATAGAGATACCAGGACCAGCCTCCTCCACCACATCGTGCAGAGCTACGGGACCCCCAGACTTCATTACATAGAGCAGCCAGGAAGCCCCACCTCCACTGTGCATGTAGCCATCTTGTGGTGGCCATCTTGTGATGACGTTGCATGCAAGGGCATGAGGACCACCCAGGCTTTTATTAGTATAGATACACTAGAGGCCCAGTGGATGAAATTCATGCACAGGTAGGGTCCCTAGGCCTGGCCAGTGATCAGGGCCAATCAGGGCCTTCTGGCTGCTGGCCAGGGCCTTCCTTCCCCAGCTGCAGCCAGGGACTTCCTTCATTCCATGCCGCCCCCTGGTGGTCAGCACACGTCATAACTATCAATCGAACTTTCAGTCTCCTGGTTGAACTCCTAAGGGGACACTTTGCATATTAGCCGATAGATAGATAGATAGATAGATATGGATAGATAGATAGATAGATAGATAGATAGATAGATAGATAGATAGATAGATATTTTGTGGATAAAAGAAGACACATGCTAACCTGGGAAGTTCAGGGAGGCCTGCATGGTGGCCTTCCAAATTCAGAGACCTAAAATAATCACAAAGAATGGTATGAAATTAAAACTTTTTAACTAAAAGCAATTGATGGGAGATAGTTATGTCCTAGGCCAGTGGTTCTCTACCTTTCTAATGCTGCAATGCTTTAATACAGTTCCTCGTGTTGTGGTGACCCCCGACCATAAAATTATTTTTGTTGCTACTTAATAACTGTCATTTTGCTACTGTTAATAAATTGTCATGTAAATATCTGTGTTTCCGATGGTCTTAGGCTCTACAGCAGCAGGGGGTATAGCTCAGGTCCCCTGGTCTGGCACCAGGACAGGGGACGTGGCCTGAGGTCCCTCAACCCAGCCTGGGGTAGGGGACATGCCTTGAGGTCCCCCGTCAAGCCCCACCAGGTGGGGGACCTGGCCTGAGATCCCTCGTCAAGCCCTGCTGGGCAGGGGGTGGGGGTGGGGGCATTCCCTCAGATCCCCTGGCCCAGCATCAGGAGGGGGCGCAGCCTCAGGTCCCCCATCAAGCCCCACTGGGCAGGGGGTGCAGCCTGAGTTCCCCCAGCACTGGAGGTGCACCTTGAGGTCCCCCATCAAGTCCAGCCAGGTAGAGGGGCACAGCCTCAGGTCCCCTGGCCCAGTGCTGGGGCAGGTGGCGTGGCCTGAGGT